GATGTGGCAGCTGGAGAAAGTCACAATTTTTTAAAGAGTTGCAAAATGAAATCTCTTTTCAGAGGTGCTCATAGAAAAATAACTTTCAAAATGATTTCTTTATGGAAAGCCTGAAGCCCGTTGGAAGGTATCCTGAATTATCTTGTGACCTCGTCTCCTTTTTGACTATTTTTGTTATACTCGTACTTGCTCTGAGTAAATCAAGAAAGCTGGAAAAATAGTTTAATAATGTAATTTGTTTTAGTAATGAAGAAAATTAAGTGTTCAACAGCACCTTTATAGAATAAATTTTGTACATTCTATATTATAGAATGAATTGTGTACATTTTGTAATATTTGGTGAAGTATTAGGAGCATCCTGAGTTTGTTAGTTTGTGTGAATTACTTAGTTTGAATAACTGCAGTATTTAAAATTGGTACATGCATTTGGGAATTCGATCAGCTGACTTTTTTTTAACGGTTTTATGATTAGATGTATTTTACTTCGGGGAAAAATGCCATTTTGAGACAAGTAAATGGTTTTTAGCAAGTTTTGATCTCTCTCAAAAGGTGTATACTCTCTCAGTGTCTGGAGACCGGCTGATTGTGGGAACGGCGGGCCGTAGGGTGTTGGTGTGGGACTTACGGAACATGGGCTACGTGCAGCAGCGCCGGGAGTCCAGCCTGAAGTACCAGACCCGCTGCATACGCGCCTTTCCAAACAAGCAGGTACGGATGGCTTGCTTTCCTCTCCTTTTGTGGAATTTGAAAATAGTAATGATCTGCTCGCTTTTTTTTGTTTGTTTTGAGCAGTGATTTAGAATTCACAAAGTTCTTCTGGATAATTGTCATTTAATGTTTTCCAGTAGCCTCATGTTAAAAGGCAGTGCGTTAACTCCATTTTAGAAATGCCTTACTGTTCAGAGAGGTTAAGTAATTTGCCTGGGATTGCCCAGTGGTTTGAGTGGAGGCCTTGTTCTTGCTGGTTCCTTGTTGATTCCTGGTCCAGGATGCTTGACTGGTATATGGTAATTGAAGAGAGTTTTACAGATATTTCAGTTTACAAGCCAGTGAGTTCAAATTTAAATATGGAAATTTGGGCTTAAGAATTTTGCTGTTCTCTTTTTTTTTGCCTCCTTGTAACCCTGATAGTCATAGAGTTCCTTCACCAATCTGACAGCAGAACTTGGATACTTTTTTTTTTTTTTTTTTAAGAACACCATTGAGGTTAGAGAGACAGTGCCCTCATTATAATGATTGCAACTCTTGGTGTACAGGTTGGGTCCCTATCCATTATTATTACTATGTGGGGTTTGCCTGTTTGTTAGTGAACGATCACCACCTCCCCCCACTCGCCCCATTCCTTGAGGTTCTAAGGGGAGTTGGTGATGTGGTCAGTTGCAGTAGAAATTTTGCAAGAGGAAAAGTCACTCCAAACACCATATAGCTTGGGAACCCTTTGGCTGCCTGTTAGTGGTTGTGGAACTTGAAGCAGTGAGGTGATTGGAGATGATTTATGTCAGTTATTCTCTTGGCCCTTCTATCTCAAAAGGCCAGTGCCTCAAATGATGATCACAATTCTTTTTTCAGGAAATTGTAATTTCCTTTTAAGATAAAGGATTGCAGTTATATGAGACTTCTGAGGTTTAAATATGTGATTAAAATAAGCTTGCATTCATAAATATTTTAATAGGTCTTTATGCCTAAAATTTCCCGTAGGACCATATCTCCAGTTTAGAACAAATAAATAGCTAAAAGTAGGGTGTTACTGATTTTTTTTTTTTCCCTCCATAAGCAGTTTTCCAGGGATATGTCTTTTTCATGTTTTGAAGGATTAAGAAACGTATAAAAAAATAGATTTCCCGTTTACCTTATATGTTACTTTCTTTGGTATATTTCAAGAAAAGGTTTGAAATTGTAAACCACATTCAAATATTCCTGAAAATCTAACTCACTGTAGTTAAATGCAGGAGGCAGAATGACTGAGATGACAGGCTGGTTTTTCAATTTATTTGGATTGATGACCCCCCCATATGAAGGAAACACAAGTCTTCTTGCAGATGTTAGAGGCGAAGAGGTGTAGAACAAAACAAATATATTCTAAGTGACAGAATGCAGTTGAGTCCCCTTTTGGATAGAACAACAAATAAATGATAGTAAAACACTTTACAATTCTTGTTTTTTGGACAGAATAAATAGAAATTATTGATTGCAACATGCAAGGCACTGGTATCATGAAGAAAGCAAGTGATGATCGCCTTATTTTATTTTGATACATAGTATTACGTTCTTGGAGCAGTCATAACTATGTTAGTACAGCTTAATGCTTTGTTCAAACCTGGCTATATATCCTTTTCATTTTTGAAACGATCATCTTTCTTTAGTGTGGGTTGAATTTGGGAATTAGTGCCTTGTTTTTAGGAGCTGGATTCACTGTTTCTGTCCTTCTTTGGTTGCCTCCTCTTAGGGTTATGTATTAAGCTCTATTGAAGGCCGTGTGGCCGTTGAGTACTTGGACCCAAGCCCTGAGGTACAGAAGAAGAAGTATGCCTTCAAGTGTCACCGACTAAAAGAAAATAATATTGAGCAGATTTACCCAGTTAATGCCATTTCCTTTCACAACATCCACAATACATTTGCCACAGGTAAAGTATGGCATGTTGGCCTAATTACTAAGATAACATAGTTTTGCTGTTAATAGAACACTAAACATTTGAACTTAGGCAGAATTAAAAAAAAACGTGCTTGCTGTTTATAGTATTTTGGAAAAAAAAGTGCCACAGTACTCTTTGGGGAAAATATAACTTCTGTAACCTTAAACGTTAATGATTTGTTAAGATAATGATTATTTCTGTATCTGGTATTAAGAACTACTCAAACCGTTTGAAACTACCTGCAGGTGGTTCTGATGGATTTGTAAATATTTGGGATCCATTTAACAAAAAGCGACTCTGCCAGTTCCACCGCTATCCCACCAGCATTGCATCCCTCGCCTTCAGTAACGATGGGACTACACTTGCAATAGCCTCATCGTATATGTATGAAATGGATGACACAGAGCATCCTGAAGACGGTATCTTCATTCGCCAAGTGACAGATGCAGAAACAAAACCCAAGTGAGTAGGCTTCACCTATATTTGAGCCTTTTCTTGCATTCAACCCAGGATTTATTAATTTTTCTAAATTCATGAATAGCTTTGTTGATGCCTGCTCGATATTACAGCTGACTGTAGGGTTGGAGTTGATTTTATCTTGTTCTCCCAAGCTTTCAATATCCGTAGGTTGATAGACGTCTGATGGATAAAATTGTGCCCAGTTGTTTTGCAGAGAAGAATGTCAAACTCTCATTCTTCTTCAATAGGCACTATTATTTGAATTTGTGGAGTTATTACTAGCTCATTGCTTCAAAATTAAGTTGAGGAATTCAGGAATAATTTATTTTAGCAAATTCTATTTAAGATATTTAAGAATTTGAACTGCCAAAAATCTTTCCTCTCCACAGAATTTATTTCTCTAGTATTTACACAACGGGAATGACCTTCAGGTCTTACTGGAAACCCAGAGTAATGTGGCCTTGCCTGGAACAGCAAATCAACTTACTTTTGAAATTTTCGTAGATATATCTTTGGCTCTTGGTTGTTAACTGCCGACTGAGAGAAACCATTTAAGTTTTTGGTACCAATAGGGCAATGCTTTTACTTACCTCCGCTAGGGTTAAGGGAAAACTGATACTTGGGCATGTGTTAACCCATAAAATACCTATCTCAAATGTCTCTGTCCTGTTCTCTGTCCCTCTGTTGCCAGGCCCTTGAGGGATGTCCCCAGTAAATATTTATGGAATAACTGAATATTTTCAGGATTCTGTATCGATCTAAATTAAAATTGATATGATATGATACCCTTGCTATACAGGTTGAGCACCCGAGAGGTGGCAGAGTATTAAATACTCAGATACTTTTCACAGATTGAACTTTAGCCTGTTAGATAAAGGGCTGTGTTTGCGTTTAATCAGTCACTTTTGTATCTCTTGTCCTGGCTGGCCATTTTGATCCCATGCTGATCTTTTTTCTTTTGGACTTGTTGGTCACCATGTACTTGACGAGATTTGATTTACTTAAGTGCCATGTTGATGAGAAAACAATTTGTACTCCCCGATGGTGGATTGATTACGTTAACAAAGAAACCAGGGAAAAAATACTAACTTTAATATTATAAGAACCTGAAAATAACGGAAAAGAGGTTTTTATTTTATTTTTTTAAACACACTTTCTTAAGTACATGAGATGGTTTGATGGTTTGCTGTGTTAAAAGTATTTGGGCAAACAAAATTGAAGGGCAGTGACTGCATTTTTGAGAATCAGTTTGACTTTGGTGATTTTTGTTTCCATTGTGGAAATAAATGTTTATAAATAAATACAGGTAATAGAAATCTCTTCACATTTTTTCTGGACCTCAAATGGTAGAGGAAAAGGCTCTTGAGCCATTTGTTTCTTTTGCTGGTTATAGTTGCTAATTCTGAAGCTGCTTCAGACTGCCTCATGAGGAGGTTAATCTACAATTAAACAATATTTCCTCTTGGCCGTCCATTATTTTCTGAAGCAGATGGTTCATCATTTCCTGGGCTGTTAAACAAAGCGAGGTTAAGGTTAGACTCTTGGGAATCAGCTAGTTTTCAATCTTATTAGGGTGCAGAAGGAAAACTAATAAGAAAACCTCCTAACATCATTTTGTGACTGTAAACAATTATTTATTAGCAAACAATTGATCCCAGAAGGGCAAATTGTTTGAGTCAGTAATGAACTGAGAAAAGACAGAGCATATCTGTGTATTTGGAAAATAATTGTAACGTAATTGCAGTACATTTAGACAGGCATCTATTTGGACCTGTTTCTATCTCTAAATGAATTTTTGGAAACATTAATGAGGTTTACATATTTCTCTGACATTTATACAGTTCTTATGTCCATTTCAGTTGACCAGCCGTTGGTGATTAAGGTTAAAAAGAAAAAAATTATAGTGAGAATGAGATTCATTTCAATGTAGTGCCCTAAAGCAGAACACAAGTGTAGCTTGGCCTATTCTGGGTAGTTCCAAATAGTACTTTTGTGGTTAAATGTTTTCTTTTTGTTATTTGCAAATGCATATCTCTGAATAGGACTTGGTCCTTAATGAAATTTATTTATCCACGATATAGCTTTTAAAAATTCTTTTGATACAGAGAAGTGTCATATTTTTATTTCTTAAGTATTTCAGTGAAAACTTAATCTAAGTCTGAGCCCGTCTTTTGAAATGTATTTTCTTCCTTGCAGGTCTACCTAATCATCCCGTGAAAGTGGTTTCTCTGTGGAAAGCTTTGTTTACGTCCTCCAGATACATGATTTTCCCCTAAGGGATGTGTTATAGTCATTGTGGACACATTATTTAGTTTGTGGATTTCTCTGCTTTCTGTCTTGAAAGAAGCTTGTCTGTGTACCATTTCATACTTACTTTGTTTAGGATCAGGAGTCTTTGTGTTCTTGTGCAGTAGTCAGAAGAATTGTTTTCTCCCCCAACAAGCCCAATTCTGTTTCTGAGCAGCTTGAGCTCTTTTGTAACATAGTCTCACCTGTTATTTCCGTGCTGTCTAATAAATCAGAGATTCAGAACCCTTAAATGTTGGATGTTTTTAAACGTTGGTAATTAATGTAATTTACTACTTAAAAAGGCTTCTGTAAAGCAAAATCCCCTTTTATCAAGGGCATGTTGGGGGTGACATTTTACCTTTAGATCCACACTGCCTCTCTTAATTACGCCTACTCTGATGTATGTTGGGGATTCAGTCCTGGATAAAGTGATCTGTTGGAGTTCTGCCATTTCCCTCGTGCCCCCTCGCTGGATCAGCAGGGCTCTTGAGCCAACCGTGCACTTCACTCTGGATGGGCACAGACTGCATGGCAGCTGGTGGGTGCCCTTTGGCACGGCGCCCTTCTGGTACTGCCAGTGCAGTAGGTTGTACCGTGTGCCTCCCGGTGCTGATGGAATTACCATACATGCAGGCATGTAGCCAAAGGACAGACCCTTCTGTACTTAGCCATCGAATGCTAAATCAAAATGAAACCCTTGGGATGGTAAATAATGTAATACTGAGAAACTGACTGTATTAGTTCTTTAGTATGATTATATGCTTTTTAAATTCTTAATGACTTGGTTGAGGACAAAGCATAACTTTAAAACGTTGTGTAACTAAAAGGGAATTAATATAGTATCATAAAAGGTGACCAAATTAAAGCAGTGTTGTGGACCTTTTTTTGGAGGTCGTGGTGTAGAGGAGCTTTTTATGTATTTCCATTTGGGTGTCTTGGCCTAAACTTGCTCTCCTTGCCGCCCCATGTACTGCTTCACCAGCTCTCACAGTTTGTCTGTTTATGAGTTTCGCCACCTTTTCCCCACATTACCCAGGTGTACTTAAACCTTGGCGTTTTCGTTGGTCTGCCTTATCCAGATTTTCTTCTTTATTTCCAAGTTTCTGTTTATTCTTTTCTTCATATCCCTACTATCCTACAGCCTTAGAGGGTCACCTCTGGCCCTGTGGGTGAGTGCAGCAGCCCCCAGGCTCTGCTCCAAGTCCTCCGTCTTCTGAAGTGGTGACTTTCAAACCTTTTGGCCATAACCAATAGTAACTACATTTTTTTTTTTTAAATTGTGCTGAAGGTGCACACACCAAAACATTCATCAACACAACTTCCACATTTACAATTCAGTGACATTGATGACATTTTTCATGTTGTATCACCATTATTACTATCTTTTTCGAAAATATTCCACCGCCTTTAACATAAACTCAATGCCCCCCAGACTAAAACTCCCTCTTTCCCCCTCCCTCCCATCTCTGTTAACCATTAATCTTAGATTTCTGTATATTTTCTTATTTAAGTGAGATCATACAGTATTTGTCCTCTCGTGACTTACTTGCTCAGCATGATGTTTTCAGGGGTCATCTGTGTGGTGGCCTGCATCAGAGTTTCATTTCTCTTTATGGCTGCATAATACTCCATTGCGTGCATGTACCACATTTTGCTCGTCCATTCATTTGTTGATGGACATCTTGGTTTCCACCTTTTGGCTGTTGTGAAAAGTGCTGCAGTGAACAGTGGTGTACAGGTTTCTGTTTGCGTTCCTGCTTTCACTCCTGTGTGTATACCTAGGATTGGGATTGCTAGGTCATACGGTAATGATAATTCTGTGTTCAAGGAACTGCCAAACTTTTTCACAGTGATTGCTTCATTTTACATTCCTACCAGCAATGGATGAGAGTTTGTTTCTCCACAGTAAATACTTCTGAACCACAGTGCAGAACTCACAGAGGTCAATACAGTATGTATAACGACGTATGTTTTATAAAATAATACCTTGCCTTTCCTATACGTGATGCGTGTGATCTTCTTTTTTTTAAATAAAGAAATACTGGTTATGGCTCCCTGAACTGAGCTTGCAAAAATTGCATTGCCACTTGCAATTGGAAAAAAACTGCACTTTAACACACAGACTTTTTTTTTTTTTTTAAACTTTTTGTGATGCCACAGGCTCCTGCAGTGTTCCTGCTGCTCATGGCAGCCCTTCAGAGCTTCCTAAGAAGGTACGCCTCTTCCACAGCCTTCAGAGCACTGGGAAGGGACTGCTGACTCTAAACTCTTCTCAGAAGCGTGGGGGTCGGGCTTTCCTTCACTGGGAATTCTGACAAGCAGATGACATGGGAATGTTCTGGCGACAGCAATATCTGATCCTGAGTTCCACTGTGTTAAAACTTAAAGGGCTTTTAGCATGTCCTCCTTTGCTCGGGGGGAAATCCAGGCCTGTTAACAAGGACTGAGGCCAGACTGCCTAGTTTGGCCTCGGCATTCAAACCCTCCGTCTCTCTGCCTTCATTATCC